GGGCTGGGGGGGCACGCACCTGCAGAGACAGCAGGCAGGGAAGATGGTTGCTGACAAACAAACCTACAGATCAGTGTGCTCGAGCTCTGGTCAGTAAGAAGATCTTGCGAACGTTTTCTTCCCTTAATTCAGCTCAACGCAGTGCGAATATACATAGATAACGCTGCTTGCATGTTCTACATAAATTGGCAGCGCAGGGCCAGAGATCATATGACCTTCGCAATGAAGCCACAGCACTGTTGCAGTAGTGCATCCTCCATGAGATCAACATATCAGTGGCATATCTGCCAGGCGAACAGAATGTCGCCATGGACCAACTGCATCGCATATTTTACCAAAACTATGAATGGGAGATACACCTCTCCCAAGCCATACATACCATCCTCTTTGAGTGGGGCTTTGTGGAAATAAACTCATTCATCACATTACACAACATCAAGTGTCCCTGGTATTGCTCTTGGGAGGGCCTGGGCAAGGGCTGCACTGGGGATGCCGTGTTGAACAACTGGTCTCACAAGTTAGTGTACGCATTTCTGCCTCTTCCCCTCCTCGGCAAGATCATACACAAGATAAAACACAACAGGGCCAGGGTAATCATGATAGCACCTGCATGGCCCAGACAGATCTGGTTCCTTTGCTTGTCACAACTGTCAGTTGCTCCTCCGATTCCTCTTCCATGATGGTTGGACAAAGTATATCAGGACCAGGGGCGAGTTCTTCATCCCGAGGCACACAAGCTCCATCTCATGGCATGGCTCCTTTAGGGTTGAATATATAGGACTCTTCCTGCTCAGAGGAAGTCCAAATGATAATTCTGAAATGTCACAAACAAAGCACAAGAAAGACTTAGCTTTACAAATGGCGACACTTCTCCAAGTGGGTCAAACATAGAGCACTCCAACCTTGATCAACGCAACTGGTGATAGTCTTATAACACCTTATAAAAAGACAGTGTCTCTAATTCATCAATAAAGGTCCACTTGGTGGTTATTTCAAGTGAGCATGATACAGTGGACAGCCAAACTGTATTTTCAGATCAGCCACTAAGAAATGTCTTAAAAGGTCTTAATATCTATCCTCCAGTCAAACTGGTGGAATCTCAACCTTGTCCTGAATGCATTGATCCACCCTCCATTTGAACTGATGGCAACCTTGGCACACCTCTCCATGAAGGTTGCTTTCTTAATAGCAATCATAACATCCAGAAGGGTCAGCAAGTTGGCTACTCTCATGGCTGACTCACCATTTATGATCTTGCACAAGGACAAAGTCATATGAAGAGCATATCCAAAATTCCTATGAAAGATAGTTTCACGCTTCCACATCAATGAACCTATATACTTAGCAATTTTCTACCAAAAGCCTCATCCTGATGCCAGTGCGGGAAGAGTCCATTTGCTGGATGTTAGATGTGCTATTGCTTTTTACCTACATAAAACAAAACAATTTAGGCATTCTCACAGTCTGTTGATTTCAATAGCAGACCGCTCTAAAGGACATGCAGTATCCAGACAGAGGCTTTCAAAATGGATAAAAAGCTACATTAGGGAATGCTATAACATCAACCAAGTGACACTATTCCCTTACTCATGGGCAAACTTTCCTAGAGAGATGGCTGTATCTACGGCCTTCCTCCATGATGTGCCAATCAAGGTCATTTCTGGGGCAGCAACATGGGTTTCCACACACATCTTTACAAGACCTCATGCTATAGACACCTTTGCTTCACAATGTACCACATTTGGAGTGGCAGTCCTTTCAGCAGTCTGCCAATGAGGTCCTAAGCTGCTCCTACCAAAGGCTCAGGGTACTGCTCCATAGTCACCTACAGTGGACACTCCTCAAAGAAGGCCCTCTCTCTTTCCCCTCTGCTCTGGAGCTTTGACATCGCTCCATGGTAGAGAAGGATCTGGAGGGAAGGTTGATGATGCGCATGTGCGTTGACATGTTTGTTACGGTGTGGGTGGTGCTGTGTGTGTGCGCACGCACCCAGGGTACTGCTGCTAAAAAGTTCCAGTTATAAGCGCAAGGGTGCCAAGACACTTAGGGTACATCTAGATTGTGTTGTTCTTTCAAAAGGAGATATGCAAATTTGGTGCTAATTTGCATATCTCCCCATTGCTTTTTTGAAAGTGGTTTTTCCAAAAAAGAAAGCAGTTTAGACATGATTCTTTTGGGGCGTCGGGAAACCCTTTTTCGAAAGAAACCGTCCTCAAAAAATGAGATATGCAGGGTTCTTTCGAAAAAGGGTTTTTTCAAAATAACTGCGGCTAAACTGCTTCCTTTGTGTGTGTGCGCACGCACCCAGGGTACTGCTGCTAAAAAGTTCCAGTTATAAGCGCAAGGGTGCCAAGACACTTAGGGTACATCTAGATTGTGTTGTTCTTTCAAAAGGAGATATGCAAATTTGGTGCTAATTTGCATATCTCCCCATTGCTTTTTTGAAAGTGGTTTTTCCAAAAAAGAAAGCAGTTTAGACATGATTCTTTTGGGGCGTCGGGAAACCCTTTTTCGAAAGAAACCGTCCTCAAAAAATGAGATATGCAGGGTTCTTTCGAAAAAGGGTTTCCCGACGCCCCAAAAGAATCATGTCTAAACTGCTTTCTTTTTTGGAAAAACCACTTTCAAAAAAGCAATGGGGAGATATGCAAATTAGCACCAAATTTGCATATCTCCTTTTGAAAGAAGCATGTAGTCTAGATGTACCCCTACAGTGAAGCGCCCATGGGAACACCCATCTCAAAGAACACCAGTTAATGCACAAGGTGAGTAACCTCTTTTTTTCTTGTATACTGAAATGGTCATTCATTTTTTATAAACTCTTCATTTTAAAATAATTACAAACTAGTAAATAATCAGTTCTAAAGTCATAGCCTGCTTACATTTAAATTTACATTCTTTTTCATAGAACTGCTTAGAGGTCTCTGGTATTTACCTGGCTATTTTTTTTTTTAATTCCCAAAATCTTGAAATAGTAATGGATTTAAAAATAATTTTGCATTCATTTTGTGTAGATCTTTTAAAGCATATAACAATGATAGAGTGAAAGATTGTTACTGTGTCATGTAAATGAAATACTTAATTGGAACAAAATGTACAGTGAAGTTCTTAACTGCTGTTCAGTCTATTACATGGTTGTGATGGTTAAAATACCTACAACTGTTATACAGGCAGTCCCCGGGTTACGTACAAGATAGGGACTGTAGGTTTGTTCTTAAGTTGAATCTGTATGTAAGTCGGAATTGGCATCCAGATTCAGCCGCTGCTGAAACTGACCAGCGGCTGACTACAGGAAGCCCGAGGCAGAGTTGCTCTGCCCCGGGCTTCCTGGAATCAGCCCCATGGGTGGGAGGGGCAAAGGAGCAGTAGCTGATGAGGCTAGAGTCTCTGGGAACCCCAGCGGAACAAGGAGGGAGCATAGTGCCCACAGTGAGGGTCCAAACATCCCATACTTGCTGGCAGCAGAGCAACAAGGCCCCAGACTGCTCTGTTCTCCCAGCTCAATGCAAGAGGGAGGAGAGGGACTGCTCCCATACTAATTAGCGGGAAGCAGAGTGACGCAGCTAGTGGAGCAGACAGAGCTAAAGCAGTGTCACTCCACTTCCACTGCCACTGCTGGTGAGTGCAGGGAGGCCAGACCTCCATTCTCTGTGCCAACCCCTTGGCTCTGCTAGTCTCCTGGGCAACACTGCTGGAAGAAGGGGTTTGGAAGAAGAGCCAGGGCAGGGGCCGATCAAGGGCGGGGAAGAAGAGAGGAGACAGCAGAGCAGGAGTGGGGAGAGATGTGGCCTTGAGGTGGAAGGGTGTTGTCCCAGCCCTTCCCTGGGTTGATAGGGCAGTCACATGGCCAGTGGTCCCCCCAGGTCTCCTCCTCACTAGTTGCTCCTAGTTCCAGTAATTGCTTCCACAAAGAACATGGAAATAATTACTGCAAGTCGCTTAAGCAAGGGGTGACGGATCTGATCATGGGCTGAAATGGTAGTTACACACCAATACACTAACCTATAGAGGGAGACCTGAACATTAGTAAGATAAGGAAATACAAATAAAGAAATGGAGGGAATCCCTAAAGAATATGCATTAGATACAGTGATGTCTGTGTATGACATACAGGCAGTCCCCGAGTTACGTGGATCCGACTTATGTCAGATCCGCAGTTACGAACAGGGTTTGCTGCCCGTCTCCCTGGTCTGCTGGTCTCCACGTCTCCAGACCAGGGAGATGGGGAGCAAAGCCGGGGAGCACGTGGGCAGCGGACAGCCCAGACGTGCCACGGCTGTCCCGCTGCCGGCGTCCTCAGAGGCTTTGCTTTCCGTCTCCGTGGTCTGGTTGTCTTCAGCAGACCAGGGAGACGGGCAGCAAACCCCCTTCGTAACTGCGGATACGACATAAGTCGGATCCGCGTAACTCGGGGACTGCCTGTATTACTGTGTTTAGACTTCAATTATATCTGTATCAGCTTCATGAAACTTTGGAATCAATTATTCTGACATATGAGAATGAAAATTTAAATCCTATTATGATGACAGGAAAAAGTTCAGTGGTAACAGAAAATGGCTCCATGGCACTGAGCTATAGGCTTTTTTGAGAACCGGGTAATGGTTTTGGTTTCTAAATTTAAAAGCTCGGGCTCTTCTCTTTTGGCCTGATGATGATGTGACTTAGATTTTTTTACTACTAAGGGAGATCATTTAGTCCTGAATTGAGCAAAAGTATCTGCTGGCTTCAGATATGTGAATAGTACCATGTGCTTTCAGTTAAAAACATCCTCACAGTTGTAAGACCCTGTTGAATTGGGACTTGTGGTTTTTGTGCAACAGTGGAAGCTAAAATAATCAACATTCTGTTGGACATGTTACTTTGTTGTATCTTATTTCTGCTGTTGATGAGGGGGGAAAAACAAAAAGTAGACATAATAGATAGTGATTGTTAAAGGAAGCAGTTCAGTTAATTGTTTGGCTTTCGTTCTTTTTGCTTACCTCACTAATTTCTGCCAACAGATAAACATTATATAACTAAAGTTGCAGTGGAAGACTGCAATTTAGTTGAAGAGTTTGAAGCACAGACTTGTGAAAAGTGTATAAAGGTAGGGAAAAAACAGTAATTTGGATTTAAAAAAACCCATGATTTAGAACAAAATTATAGAAATTTGTGGGGAAACTATTAGTCAAACATAAATAGTCCTCTCATAGTAGTATTTACCAATACTTATTAGGAGTTGAATGCCTTTTAAGATAATTAAACGTGTCCGGATCTATTAGTTATGAGTACATTTCAACTTTTGGTAAACCGATGGACAAGACACTTAAATTCATATTGTTAAAAGCTTTTATAGTTTGCATCATAGTTGGCTTACATTCTGATAGGTTGCATATTTGTTTTTCTTGATCTTTCAGAAAAGTGAATTTATGAAAGAGAGAGGAAATTGTGAGTTTTCCCAAAAAAAGCTGGATTTTGCTATAAGCTCATACACTAAAGCCATAGAATTTTGGTAAGAACTAAGTCAACTAACTGAATTATTATCTTTGTGTGTGTTACGTTCTTATATTTTACACTTGTTCTACTTTGTTGACCACCCATTTAAAAATCAGATGATGTCTAATGGACTTAGCACAGAGTGTTAACTACATTCATATGATCTGTTCCCTTTCTTAGTACTGAAGACACTTGTTGTCTGTGTTATGGACTTTTTAAAAAACTTCACTCGTTACTAATGATTCAGCAACACCCATGCTAACTAATATTGTTGGCAGCATTGGGTAAATGGCCTCTCAGCTTCAGAATCCGCTTTAGGTGCTGTCTGTTAAACATGGCCTCATCAGAAAAACAGGATATACTACTGAAAACATCTACTGGAGCTGATAGCTGCCTACAGTAGGGCTCCTAGTGCTGCTAGCACTAGTGGAGCTGACCCAGTAGGAGAGTTTGGCACCAGTAGGATAGTGAGGGGTTGATCTATGTATGTATGTTTATTCATCACTTGATATGTGTATGTTGCTTATTCGTCCCCTGATGTTTCTAAATTAATGGTGCCTGTTAAACTCAGCGGGCTTCCAGGGAGGTGATTTTCATGCAGCAGGGTAGCAAATCCTCCTCCCGAGGAGCTTGGCAGGCAAGGGCTGACTGCTTGTTACCAGGGAGGAGGCTTATTTGAAAAATGGTTTAGTATGAAAATTGTTATTTTAGTGGTAGATGCTTAAACCATATGGTCTAGCACACATTAGTGTTCAGTTTACCCCTTTTATTCTTGTAGGGTAGATGTATGTTTTAGTCATAGAATGCATCCTACTCCTGTAGAAAATAAAACAATGCACTTGTAGCTGAAGGCATTCTGGTAAAGTCTACAACACAAGGCCAGTCTTTCACTTTCAAACAGAAAATTTTGTTAGCTGTCAGTCTCCTGCAAGAAGATTACTAGTTGGCCAGAAGAACCTCCAGAACAGTCAAAATAGAATAAAATATCCTATTTTTGTTAACAAAGGCAACATTAACAAAGTCCTAAGAAATAGTACAAATCACAGATGAAAAATCTGTTTTGCTGTTGTACTGATTTTTGCTTCAAATCCTATGGGTAGTATTGGATAGAGCCAAGAATGGAGAGGAAGTCTACAGTAATTCATTCAAGAGGGCTTGAAGGAGTAGTTGTATTAGTGTATTCAGAAACAAGAATATACTTGTCTAAAATTAATTTCAGCACTAATAAAGTGTGGTATATATTACAATACAGCTGGCCTTTCTGCCCCTCATGCACCTTTCCAGACTGAGAAAGGAAAGATGAGCTAAAAGAAAATCATGGTAAAATACCCTCTCAAAGAATTTGAATTGTTCTTCAGTAAGTTCAGCAGAGCGAAGTCACAATTTTTTGTGGATAATATTTTTCTCCTATTATACCCCCCCTCCTCTCTATTCCTTCCCTGAGTATTTAGCTACCTCAGTAATTCTTAGCTTTGATGAAATGGGTTGGAGGCTGGGGGGACACACCTACAATGGTACTGTCAGAATTGACTGAGTTCTATACCTTTGCTGAGATTACACATCTGAAATCAATGAGACTATTCAGATTAGAAAAATTAAGCAATTTTGTAAGTGTTTGATGGATTGTATCGCAGGCTTGTACACATACACATTGAGTAAATGAAGTGGTTGGAGAAATTTACTGTGAAAAATTAGAATTATTTTCCTTGTTATTAGCTATTTTGTATTGTTAAGAAATAATACGTTAACTAATACCTTTTTAATAATTTCTTTTTAAGTCCTGAAAACCATCTTCTTTATGGTAATCGGGCTCTCTGTTTTCTTCACACTGGACAATACAAGTAAGTTTGTCTTTTGGGGTATCTGAGATCCTGAATTTTTCTGTAATTGCAAACTCTGAATTGACAGTATTCTTGGTAAAGTAGTATTTTAGTACCTTGAAGATATAAAGCTTGGTTTCCTAAAGTCATAATGGCACAATATAAAGGAGACAGGATAAAATTGGTTGTCTTCCAGGAGACTGAAAATAGCTGTAAAAAGTGTGAGCTGTTTTGTCATTCAAGTGCTTTGTTAGGCGTTACATTTAAGTTTAATCTTTAACCTTATATTTTATTGCTGTTTGTCTGAACATAGACGTCCAGCAGATGTATTTATCTTGTGTGGTTGGGTTTCTGTTCATTTGAGAGGACATTCCACAAATAATGTGATTGAGAACTAGAAAGATGTAAGCGTCTTTAGAAAAATGTGTATTTTGATATAATTTGTAGCAAATGCCGACTAAAGCTTGCAGATATTATAGCTCATCTGATCTTTTCCCCGACCGTCTGCCTGTTCGAGTAATTCTATCACATCTCCTGGTATACTTTACCCCCACTGTAATTCCCTCCATTTTCATGGTGGTCAGACTCTTCATATGCTCCCTTGCATTGCACCATAAGCATCCTTTATCCCATCTTAAAAAAACAAACCCCCACTGTTACCCTACTTGCTTCTTCGGTTATTGTTCCTTCTCCCCTTCATTTGTACACCAATTGAATGCATTGTCTACTCTAGCTGTCTGGAGTTCCTCTCCCCTTATGCCATTTTAGATCCTCTTCAGTCAGGCTTGCATTCCTTCCACTGGTATGTCTGTTGACAACATTTCTAATGAACTGTCTTTGGTAAAACTCAGAACCAGTACTCTACCCTCACTGTCTCTTTAACTTTTGATACTGTTGACCATGTTCTTCATTAAATCTTGTTTTCCCTTTACTTTCATCAGGACTGTTCTCTCCAGCCTCTCCTTTAGCATTTAATTAAGAATCCTCTTAATTTCCCTTATGACTTCATGTGGAAATCCCAAAAGACTCTGTCTTTCTAAGTATTCATAGTCCTATATATATGATTTTAGCGATTATTTTTATGCTGCTGATTCAGATTCAGTTCTCCACTCCTGATCTGTTTGCTGTCCAAACTAAAAATCTCATCTTTTCTCTCTTGCATTTCCTTGTGGATGTCTGGTCTTGATTTCTCCCTATACTAGCCTTCTTCCTTTCTACTTTAAGTCACCATAGACTCAATTTCCTTTTTACTCAAGACCATAATTTGGGTGTTATTTTTTATTCATCCCTTTGTCTAGATCGGGGTGGTCAAATAGTGGCCCGTGGGCCAGACCCAGATCACCAGAGTTAGCTTCTGGGGTAACCCCATCACTATATTTACTAGGGATGTTAAAAAGCAGGTAATTGTGTAGCTGTGAAACTGCTGAAAATCTTGGTTACGCGCATCCATTGCTAAATCCTGTATAACTCCTGCGTTTCCTTTCTATCCATAAGCTAAATCTCTCATCCAGATCTTCTTTCATCTGGGAGCTCAATCACTGCAACATTGTTCTTTCTGGCCTTGACAAATCCTGTCTTTAAAATGATGCTTACCACTTTTGATGGATTGTTTTGACCATATCAATCATTCTTTGCATACCTCCATAGTCTCACCCTTTCTCTACTACATCAAAATACTTATTTCAGCTTGAGCATCCTTTTGCATGCTATTGCGATGTTAAACCCTGCATTGAATGCAGACATGTGGGCTCTCTTGATTTCTACACAGCTACCTTATTATCCAGTTTCAGATCTCTCTCTGACATGATGGCTACAGAAAAGTTGATGGTTAGGCAGGTGGTGTCCTGTACTTATTAACTAACCAGTATTGTGTCATGATTGCTTTTTTATTCCTGCTCACTCCCCAGATTTGCTATATACACTTGTTATCTTATACTTACACTTAAATGAGAAATCTTTAAGACAGGAGTTCTTTCTTTGTCTTTGCAGTATCCAACACAATAGGGCCTTGAAATTTAGGTATTATTTCCAGACTAATAAATATTTCCTGTTTTTAAAGGCAAGCTCTTGTTGATGGAAAAAGGGCAACTATTTTGAAGCCTATCTGGCCAAAGGTTAGTTTAATGTTAATTTGGCAACTCTGTTTACAGTAGAAAGAATATTACATTAGGTAGTTTAAATACAAGATCTCAGTGCCTTGATATGAAGGCACCTCCTTTTAGATGCATAGCTTTCTCTTCTCTGAGTAAACCTTTGAAAAGTTAAATAGATTTTTAAAAAATTATTTGATTCTATTTTTGTATGCATGCATCTGTGGGTTAGAGAATATACTGTGCATTTTAAAGACACTTGTGATAATTATGTAGCAACATGCTTTATTTATACATTATAACACGCGCAACAATTTATAAAAAATATGCACAACAGTGAACAAATTTCTGTTTCAAAAATTTAGTCTAGAAAGACCTAAGTATGGACAATTACACAGTTGTTCAAGTGCAAAAGTGGTATTAGGGATTAAGGAAAGGCATCTTTACTTTGATTTGAAACCAACGGTGGGATAATAGACTAGATGCGCCATTAGTGTGCTTTGATGTGAGAAATCTTAGGTACTATTGGCTATTCAGCATTTGTCTAGAACAAACAGTAACTTGTATGTTATTGAATATGTCAGAACGTTTTCTTGTTCAGTCCACTAAAATGCTCTTTTGGATATAGGTTAATATTTTTATGTTTTGAAAGAATCATCACTTTTTAACATTTTAAATTTATGTTCACATTAGGGTCATTATCGCTTCTGTGAGGCTCTCTCGCTGCTGGGAAAACATGAATATGCCCTGGAAGCTAATGAGAGGGCCCAAGAGCTCTGCAAGAATATTCCTGAGCAAGTTAAAGATCTTATTTCGCAAAGCACAAGGTTAAGGAAGGAAATGGAAGAAATTAAAGGTAGCTTTTTCTGTCTTCAAAATATTTTCTTAATACAGTAAGATACCTTAAACTAGGGATGTTAAATTGTATTTAATCAACTAATTGACTAGTTGATGGAATTTCTATTGACTAGTTGATAAGGGAAAACTGGAGAGCCACAGCGGGGTTAGCTCCCGGCCCTGGCAGCTAACATTGCTGCGACTCTGCCTTGTAAATATATTTAGAGCCTGGCAGCTAGTAAAATATTTGGAAGACTGAAGAGCTACGGGGAGATCAGGCGCAAGCTGGGATAGCTGATTTCTGGCTGGTGCCTGGTCCCCTGCTATGCCTCTGCCTCCCCTGCACCCCGTGAAGATGGTGCTGGGGGGATCTGGCTTTTAAGCTGGCTCACCCCAGCACCAGCTCCTGCCCTTCGTCCCCCTTTGCTGCTTCTGATAGAGGCAGCAAGTGGGAGAGAAGTGATAAATAGTCATAAGCTTATTGGATAGTCAACTAGTCGCTTACATCCCTACCTTAAACTGCAACTTTCCTTTCAAATGAAGTAACATTTTTCAGCTGTAAATCAGTGTTTTCTGTGTTAAATTTCTATAGGTATGAAAGCAAGTAAACACAGAACAAAGAAATCATTTTTTGAGAAAAAGTAAGTTAAAACCAGATTAATTTTTATTTATAAAATAATATAATTAATATAAAGTTAATATAATATTTAATTGGTACAGAGCACAGAGTTTGCTTGAATTACTATGTTATAAACCAGCAAGTGAAAATGAAGGGGAAAGAGGCAAGTGTCTGAACCCAGTAGCATCTGATACTTGTTAATCAGAATGAAGGATAGTTGCAGAGGAGTGTAGGAAACAAATGAATTTAAAAATTTATTTCAGTTGTTTTGTGCTGACTACTACTACCTCTAGACTGTTTCCTTGAGTTTAGTTTTTTTATTCTAGAAATTGTAAATCTAAAACATTACTGGGAACTTAATTTCGTCCTGTCCACCTTTGTTGCAATACTATATAGAGCAGTGCCTGAATACAAAATTTGTATCTATCTGCAAAAATGAGCCATGGATATCCCCATCCACAGCTGCAGATGTGAATCCTTCCGGCTATAAACTCGATATCCATGGATTTGCAGGGCTCTAAGGGTTTGTCTACACTACAAAGTTAATTCGAACTAACAGCCATTAGTTCGAATTAACTTTAATAGGGGCTACACATACAAACCGCTAGTTCGAATTTAAATTGAACTAGCGGAGCGCTTAATTTGAACTAGGTAAACCTCATTCTACGAGGAGTAACCCCTAGTTCGAATTACGTAGTTCGAATTAAGGGCTGTGTAGCCACTTAATTCAAAATGGTTGGAGGCTAGCCCTTCCCAGGTTGCCTTGGTGGCCACTCTGGGCCAAACCAGGGAAGCTTTTGTGCCCCCCTCATCCCCGGCCCCGGAGCCCTTAAGGGGCACGGTCTGGCTACCGTGCTTGTGCCAGTTGCAAGCCTGCCAGCACCCAGCCAGCAGGCCCTGCACCTGGCACGGCATAAACCAGCCACCTGCTGTCACCCAGCCCTCCGCCTCTTCCCATGACCAGGCTGACGGCTCACAGGAGCCTGCCCAGGGCCACAAAAGGCGGGCGCCCACCTGGTCTAGTGAGGAGATCGTGGACCTCATTGTGGTTCGGGGGGAGGCCTCCAACGTCCACGACCTCTGCACTAGGCACAGGAATGCGGCCATCTAGGGCAGGATAGCTGCCAGCCTGGCCACCACAGGCCACATGTTTACCCAGGAGCAGGTTTGCATGAAAATCAAGTTGGTCCAGTGAGACCCCCAACCCTGAGCTTAAAACATAAGAACGGCCGTACTGGGTCAGACCAAAGGTCCATCTAGCCCAGTAGCCGGTCTGCCGACAGCGGCCAACACCAGCTACCCCGGAGGGGTTGGACCGAAGACAGTGACCAAGTGATTTGTCTTGTGCCATCCATCTTCAGCCTTCCACAAACAGAGGCCAGGGACACCATTCCTATCCCCTGGCTAATAGCACTCCATGAATCTCCATGAATTTATCTAACTTCTCTTTAAACTCTGTTATAGTTCTAGCCTTCACACCTTCTGTGCAAGGAGTTCCACAGGTTGACTATGTGCTGTGAAGAAGTACTTTCGCTTATTAGTTTTAAACCTGCTGTCCAGTCATTTAATTTGGTGTTTCTAGTCCTTATATTATGGGAACTAATGAAGAACTTTTCTTTATTCACCCTCTCCACACCACTCATGATTTTATATATCATATCCCCCCTCAGTCTCCTCTTTTCTAAGCTGAAAAATCCCAGTCTCTTTAGCCTCTCTTCATATGGGACCTGTTCCAAACCCTAATCATTGTAGTTGCCCTTTTCTGAACCCTTTCCAAGGCCAAAATATCTTTTTTGAGGTGAGGAGACCACATCTGTACACAGTACTGAAGATATGGCGTACCATAGTTTTATACTTCCCCTCCTCCTCCTTCTTCCCCTGGCTTCCCCCTTCCAGCTCCCTCCTCCCAGGTTTCCTCCTCCCCTCTCCCATCCTCTCTCTTCCCCTCTCCCACCCCCTTTTCCCAGTCTCCCCAGAGGTTAATTTCCTCCCCCCTTTTTTTGTTAAATAAAGAGAGTTTCTATTTTTGAAAACTGAGGGGTGGGGATTAACCTCTGGGGAGACTGGTAAAAGGTGGTGGGAGAGGGGA